TATTTAAGCATGAAATATGAAATAGTAAGAACATGAACAGATTCACAGCCCTTTCTGATTTTCATTAAGCTATTGAATTTTAATTCTTACTAGTTTTGAATTCAATTTGAATTTTGTAGTCGTCGTGGCCTAACGGATAAGACGTCCGGTGCATTCGTGTTGAAGCGATGCACCGGTGTTCGAATCCCGCAGGCGGGTACCAATTTTTCTAATGAAATACGTACTCAACAAATGTTCACGATTGACTTCCACGGTGAAGGAATAACATCGTGTAATAAAAATGAAACCCGCAAAGTTATAATTTGCATAATTACTGGTGGTAGGACCTCTTGTGAGTCCGTGCGAGTAGGTACCACCACCCTGCCTATTTCTGCCGTGAAGCAGTAATGCGTTTCGGTTTGAAGGGTGGGGCAGCCGTTGTAACTATACTTGAGACCTTAGAACTTGTATCTCAAGGTGGGTGGCGCATTTACGTTGTGGATGTCTATAGGCTCCAGTAACCACTTAACACCGGGTGGGCTGTGAGCTCGTCCACCCATCTAAGCAATAAAAAAAAAAACATTATTTACGTATAATAGCAAAAACAATACTGATTTAACTCTCGGATAATCACGGTTGTCTTGCGACATAACAATGGCGTGTTACGGTCAGTTAGCTGTGATAGCTTTCACGTCCTTCATGCATGGCGACTTAATTTATGTCGGCCTTCAGTTCAGTGGTGGACTTGGGCTTGGGACCAGGGCCCGCTCTGCATCTGCGTACCGTCCAATCTTACATAGCGCGCATGCCCCCTAGACGCAACTACCTTTTAGGAAGTTCAGTTCAGGTAAAATTGTAAACTGGGCGGTCTTCTACCTAACGGTTTCTATACAAAACATCTAAAAAGAATGCAGCAAGTATTCACTATCATTGTAGGTATCAAGTTTTTTATTTTTGTTCTATGGTTCACACAACTGGATAAAATCTGCACACATAAACATTGTTAAGCATCTAAATAAGTTAGAAAAAAATAATACATTATAGAATTCACCCTTTTGGGTGTGAACACATCTGGCATAAAAACGGTTGTGAATAAGAAAAAAATATCGATAAATAATATTAAAACTAAGAGAAAAATTAATAAAAAAACTGCAAATAAAGATATATAATATTCAAGGTATTCTATCAAAATAGATTAAACTATATAGTGCTAATTTATCTGAGTAAGTCTGTACCTGGCGTGTGTTCATGAATGCCTTCAAGCTTTATACATACCTATATATTGACATTAATAGCAGTTTCGAAAAGAAGCGGTTCACAAATTTTAAGTTGATAATATTAAAAATCAACGAGAGATTCGACTCCACGGTTTGCTTGTTTAAATTGATTCGGTGACCCAGATTAACTCGATTGTCTGAGACATCATATTGTATAGCGTAATATCGGGCTTCCCTAAGGTTCTTGTCAAGGATTTGGAAATTGTAGAAGTCAACAGGATAATATTGATAGTGTTTAAATCAGTGATGTAAGTAACCTTGAAGAATCATTTATTTATAGCGCGTCTGAAAACGATGGAGCACTTTTAATCAACAAACTATTGACTATTTTTTGGAAGAAAAATATTTTAAAACTGAAGTGAATTTTAGCTAGAATGAAAGCTGCGAAGTAATGTTAACGAAGATCGTGAGATAACTCGAACTATTACGTCTATGTATTACGTACATATGTTTTATTTTATTACATATGAGCGTACACAAGTCATTTTATACATGCTTTAAAATCAACATGACACAAGCATAACTCCATTTTTTTAATTACTCAAATTGAGTTTAAGCATCACGGGATAGGATGGGGATACAGAAGCCCATACACACAAGCACAATGTGTGAACAGATTTTTTTGTTGTCAGGAGCAAATCGCCGGTCTCCCACCGTTCACTGGGGATGGCGGGCGGGGTATATCGGAGTCGAACCGACTAAAGCCTCCTGTCGCTCAACAACCCACATCCGACCCTCGCATGAGACAGAACTCATGAAAAGGCAAAGGGGGAGAGTGGTGAACAAGGGTAGCTCTTGTCTAGAAGACATCAAATTAAGCAAAAATATTAATATCAATTTATTGTTTTCTTAAAACTCTTTCCGTGAACTTCCATCTTTTCATTACAAAAAATTCGCTGTTCGTATTTCAATACGAAGCTGTGCGTCCTTATAAATAATAAATTTTCTTAAAACGGTCGTCACGGAGTGCGTTCTCCCCGCGATGACCTACGGCGCGGAAACCTGGACACTGACTGCGGGGCTGGCCCATAAGTTAAGAGTCGCACAGCGGGCGATGGAGAGAGCTATGCTTGGTATCTCTCTAAGGGACAAAATCCGGAACGAAGAAATTCGACGGATAATCAAAGTCGACGACATAGCTCTCAAAGTTAGCAGGTTAAAGTGGCAATGAGCTGGTCACGTCTGTCGAGCCGATGACGCCAGGTGGGGGAGGAAAGTCCTCGAATGGAGGCCACGGAGCGTGCCAGGAGCGTGGGGCGTCCTCCGATCAGGTGGACCGACGACTTAGTGCGCACGGCGGGAAGTCGTTGGATGCGAAAGGCGGAGGACCGCATTCTGTGGGAGGCATTGGGGAAAGCCTATGTTCAGCAGTGGGCAGATAAAGGCTGATGATGATGATGGTCGTCACCATAATTTTATACAATGCCATCTCTTGATGTTATTAAGAATGATTCAATCTCAAACTCAAAAATATTCACCAGATTGGTGTTTTAAGTCTACAGGCGAAAGTTTTAAAAAGTACCACTACTGTCGTATAGATGGCGCGATTTTTAGTTTAGTTATACAAAATAGAAACGACGTTTCTTATTTTTATAAACTACTGCGTGTATGTACCAAAACTCGGTTTAGCTCGGTGACGTCGTTTGGTGCCAAATAGAGGATAATACATAATTCTAGACACATTGGTTACCCACATAAGACATTATACGATTTGATTAATGGTTAGATGGACGAGAAAAAGTGAGTTAGAATATGATGTCATTCAGATTCTATTACATTACGGATTAAATAGTTACATATTAAATATCATTTAAAATATTTAAAAAGGATTTTGAGAATATAAAAATATTGATATGTGTACAGTAATTGCCATTTTCGAATAAATATTGGTATTGAGTGATTTGAATAGTGACATCTGTTGTAGAAATGTACAAAATTTATGTCACTCTAACAACTTTAAATAGTTTCCGTACAGTGCATATAGATGGCGTGATGGCAAGTCCTTGGTAATAAGTTTTCTTTATGTATAAAGAATACCGCGATAAATACTTGTATTATTGATAGTTTTTTATTAATTCATTTAACATCTAATTAAAACAATGTTGTCTGAAATGCATATATCGTTCTTCTAACACTTCGGCATTCCAGCAACTGCACTTGTCTTTAAACAAAACGTTGCAAATTCGACATGTTGTTGATTTCTTTTTATTCGGTGTTGTTTCTTTTGGCTATCACTATTACTATATACTATATATATATATATATATATATATATATATATAATAGGTACTACATAACTATTGTGTTGATGGCTTTAATAATTGGCACTATGATGTCCAATTCACTAGGTAGGCAAAGACTTAGTTGCGGTTTGAGCATTAACGATGACCAATAAAATTAATTTTAGTATCAGTTTATGTAACACGCATGCATTATATAATCAAAATATTGGAAGGCTTAGACCGTTCAAAGAAGGGCTGGGAAACGTTATGGACTTTCTTTTGACGTTACCAAGTTAATTTTCTCATATCGATATATTTTATAGCCGCGAAAATATCGGAGCTATTTGTTAGTTGTTAAGTTTTTTTTTGTCCTTGTAGGCAGACGCCCAAACGATGGTTACTACCGAGAAGCTCTCTCCAAGACTCGTTTGAAAGAGGATATTTCATAGCCCTCGGAAAACACCGGATTTTAGGATTGTACCATTTTAAATGACGTTTTTTTTTGGTCAGGAGGAAATCGTCGGACTTCCGCCCTCCACTGGGGATGGAGGGCGGGGCATGTCAGAGTCGAACTGCTAAAACCTGTCGCTCAACAACCAACGTCCAAACCTCGCATGAGACAGAACTCATGAAAAGGCAAAGGGGGGAAAGTGAAGCATTTAGTGCGGAGCACATCTCTGGACGCAAATGACGTTCAATTGCCAAAATTCTCTGAATGTGTGCTTTATAAATTATTTATTTTTATAACATTCCTGTTCACTTAAATGAAAAGCTATGTACACTATGACGCATTATTAAGACAAGTAATGCTAATCGGTAGTCATGAAACACATAATTTCAGATCCTCCCGATCCACTAACGGTGCTTTTAGGTACTACAAGTACCAGTCACCGTTCTCGTCGAACCTATCGCTTGCGGCAAAGGGCTCGGCGAGTAAATTAATCTAGAGACACAGCCCACCGAGTTTCTCGCCGGATCTTCTCAGTGGGTCGTGTTTCCGATCAGTTAGTAGATTCTGCGAAGCACTGCTCTTGCTAGGGCTAGTGTTAGCGACGTCACCAGCTTAGAACCCAGTGAGCTCATGTACTCGCTCGGAGAAACTAGTATAACCCGTCGAAGTTACTAAAATAGGTACGACAAAAAAAGTTGGCATTTTAGGTTTACACCAAGTTCGACATTGTACGCATGAAGTTGTCGTTGGCGGATATTTTTTACCCTTGACTATGTTAGTTACAAGTATAATTTATATTAACGAGTTCTAATACAATTGCTATTTTTTTTTATATTATAAATTAACCACCACGAATTTTGTTTAAATGTCACAGATCCATTAGCCGTTCATCAGAGGCCTACATTAAGGCGTTACTGTAATAGTTACCACGACATTTCGATCAATTTAGACAAGGACGGCCGCTTTTTTTTTGCTATCCATATGACACACTGTATTCATGCTTAGAAATGATCATCCGTATAAAAGAGTGAGGCGATTCCGTATTGGGCATCAGTCGGCAAAGCATTGTCCGAAGTGATCCTTCTTATATCCCGGCACAGACCTCGTTCGCAATGAGATCGTTGGTGGTGTTGTTTGCTGCGTTGTCAGTAGCTGTTTCCGCTCCGGGCGTCGTGAAAAGATCCATTGGACACGTCGCGTATACAGTGCCGACAGCCGTATCACATCAGTCTAGAGTTGATGTACGAACGTCGCCAGCAGTCGTGGATGTTGCTCCAGCGGTAGTTTCTCATTTTGTTGCTGCACCAGAAGTACAAGCCCGATACGTGGTAGCTCCCTATACTACTGTCTATGGAGCTGGAGCTGTCTCTCACCAGTCTAGAGTTGACGTTCGCACTTCACCAGCTGTAGTCAGCGATGCTCAAGTTGTGGCTCCTGCTTTTCATGCCGAACCTGTCCTTGAAGCTCGGTCAGTTTATGCCGCTTCAGTGCCTTCATTGTACATTGATGGTGTTTCAGTTTCTCATCAGTCGCGTTACGATGTGCACTCCTCTCCCTCAGTTGTGACTGAGGAAGTCGCCGCTCCAGCCATCGTCGAAGCCCGTTCTCTTTTGCCGATAAACGTCTGGTAATCACAGCAAGGATTATATAGAATGTATACATTTTGAAGAAATTAACGCAAATAAATAAATAAATAAAATCACACATAAAACTGTTGTTTAATTTTTACTTTCTGACGCTGAAAAACGACCAACCAGCTTAACGTGTTCATAAGTTGCGGTTTGTTATTGCGTTCACATTAGAAAAAGTATAAAGCATAAGCTTAAATTGGTTAAATTGTATTTTAATCAGAGTATTTTTGTTTAATTCATACCGTACGTATATATTATTATATCCGTATTGATTCGTCAACATCTTACTTCGTTTACCGCAACTTTTGTTTTTAGTAACAGCTGTATTCCGAATGGTACTAAAAAGTAGTAAAAGCTTTAAGCGCTTGCTACAACCTGAGACATGTCGCTAGAGAATAAATTAATTTTGTTAATCTCGAAATTAATGCTAAGATATTTTGCGAAATATCAAAATTCTTTTCGTAACAGAATTTTAGTTACTTATCTTTTTTCGTCTTCATATTTTGTTTATAACTTCATTACCGTCCCCAACCTTTCGAACGAGTGCGTCAAGATATTATCCTGAAAGCACCTAGAAACTACCTAACTAATCCTATTCACTTTTCAAAAGATAATATTTAAGTAGTTTCTCTCTTATATAATATTAATTTAACAAAAATTCGGATTTTGTTGGTTTGCCATGTTAGCATAAGATTTTTCTTAAGTTGTACATGTATTTTATTTATATAATGTCAGGAACAAGCATCAATTTTTCTCTGCATTATATGAATGTAAAGTATATGTTTTTATACCTAAGTGTATTAGAACAAAATACCTAATTAGCAATGAAAACCGCACCATAACCCGTTGTGTGTCTTAGGAGAACTAAACGTATGTATATATAGACAAGTAAAATATTGATTGTGCTCAATGATTTCATTCTATGTTAATTTCGACGACGGAAATCTACTTTTGCTAATGAGTAGTTACTGAGGCGTTCTCACAAAGCGAATCGACCCTATTTTAGCTGTAAATGTTATGAGTAATTGCCAAAGCTCAAAATGTAATTTATGGATAGCTGTTTATATTACATATGTGCTGATGTGATGATGAAGTTTTATTAAATTTTAATAGGTACGGAACGCTCGGTATTTCTTGGACTGAATTTCAAACCAACGAGTCAATTCTTGAAGTATTAAGCGCCTTTCTATCTCAGTTCATTTAAACCCTCAAATAGTATAATATATTAATAAATTTTACAGTTATTGAAATAATCATACACGTTTATTTTCAAATCGACCTTCAGTTAGTGTAATTTTTTTTCGATCCATTAATCGTCTCTGACGAAAGCGGAAGACAATGTAATACGAGGAATGAAGGTTAACATTATTTTCTACGTTACAACAATCCTTTTACAGTTGATAGTATCAACTGTATGAAATTAATACTTTCTTAAAAGTTTTTGCGGAATTTGTTGCTATGCTATCATTGTCCTGGCTTTTCTTTCAACTATCTTCTTTCTCAATTTGGTTGGTTAATCTTATGAATTGCCTCTTGTTAACTGGTTATAAGCTATAAATTACATATTATAAGTCTCAATACTCATTTAATTTAATCCAATAGGATTGGGTAAAATTATTTTCAAGGATCTCTTATCCAATTACTTACCCAACGCAAACGTTACGTACCAAGAACAGGGCACGTGCCAATGTAGACGGTGTTTTTTCAGCATTTTAACCTACGTAACATGAAACGTGCTCATCGTGTACGCTCACAGATTTTAATTGCTAGAAATAAATTTGCGGGCAGAGTAGGAGGGGTTAACAATGTCTTATAATATAATCAGATTTTATTAGAATCTTGCAATGATAATTTTTTTAATAAAATCCATTACCAGATAATCCTGCGAAATTAAATTCAGGAGATGTGTTCGTGTTTCTGCAAAAAACAGAAGATAGCAAGCTTTAAACCTCAGGATAGGTGTAAAGTAATATTTAAGTTGTAATTAAGTACTGTTTATACTTTGATCAAGCTTTGTTATATTTTAAATTGAGAAATTGGTAACCTCTCAAAGTATTATACTATTATACTTATATATTATTGTAATAAATATATGTAAAGAAAAACTTTTATAATTTAAAATCTTTGAAATTCTAGTTTAAAAAAAAGATATTTTGTAGACTAAATCACTTACCTGTCTGTCATTCAATGAAGAGAGTAATTCAGTTTGGATAGTATAATAGTACTTTTAAAAATATTAATTTAAAAATAGATTAAGGGCTTTGAATGTTACTTTCTTATTAAATTCCAGAAAACGCAATTAAGTTTTTTACTCTTAATTCATTCTCTGGAGTATATTATTATATTATATATACTAATATATAAATCTACATTGGTTTTTACGGATATTCCGTTATAACTACTGAACCATGCATCCAATTGACTTGAAACTTGGTATCCATGTAGAAAATACGTGTACTTAATGGATAGGCTAATATTTATATGAGTGTTGGACTCCCTAACAATAATGGCAATAAATAATAATGTAAATTTTAAATGCCCAGCGAAGCGGGCGAGTACGGCTAGTATAATATATTAGTAAATATATTCATAAATACATGAATATATAAATTTTTATACTAAATATTACATCATTTTTTTTTTTAATATTCATTGGTACGTACAATACGTTAGACACCAATATTTTATATAAGTTTAAACATATTTTGAGAATAGCGAAAAAGCCTATAGATTCTTTTTAATCGGAAGTATTATTGACCGGTGCGCAAAAGCTGCCCCGGAGCAAGGTCGATAACTTTCACATAACACTTGACATTGCCGTGCAACTGTAGGATTTGACATTCGTACCACATAATTAAATTTTGACCACATAAGTATAAAAGCGTCTCAATTCAAGCAATTAGCATCAGTCAGCCGATCAACGGATTGAAGTGATCTTATTGTTCGTCGAATCTTAACACAGACCACGTTTACAATGAACGCGTTGGTGGTGTTATTCGCTTTAGCCTCAGTGGCCTGCGGTTCTTTGGTGCCATTGGCGCAACCGCCTCACCATCCTGCGCTGGTGCTGGATCCACATGGTCGTCCCCTGGATACAGCGGAGGTTATCAACGCTCGCGCTCTACACCTGCAAGCTAAGGCTCTGGAGCATCACGACGCCCATCTAGTGCACGCTGCCATCGCGCCTGTCGTCCACTCAATCGCTCCTGCTGTAGTACCTGCCGCCGTATCGCATCAATCCCGTGTTGACATCCACAGCAGCCCTGCGATCGTGAGCCACGCTATCACCACACCTGTGCTTACACACTCTGCTATTGCACATTTTCCTGTCCTGACTCAATCAACTCTTGGACACGAACACTTTCTGAAGAAACGATCTGTGGCTCTGGTTGCTCCTTCAGCTGTTTCCCATCAAGCTCGCGTTGACGTTATTTCTAAGCCTACTTTGGTGTCCCATGCTGTGATTGCCCCTATTTTGAGACACTCCGTGGCTACCCCCTTTGTAACTCATGCTGTAGCAGCTCCTGTAGTCGCAGTGGCTCCAGCTGCCGTGTCTCATCAGTCTCGTGTAGATGTACATTCTAGTCCAGCTGTCGTAACTCACGCTATTTCTCCTCTCTCTGCTGTTTGGACTGGTGCAACATATGGTGCTCATTCTATCTCTCATGGACACTTGTTGAAGAAACGTTCTTTAGCTGCTGTAGTGACTCCAGTTCTGCATACCGCCCCCGCCGCCGTGTCACATCAATCCCGTGTGGACGTTATCTCTGAGCCCGCTGTAGTATCCCACGAGATCGCGACTCCCTTGGCTGCCGCTCCTCTCGCCCATTCTGCTATCTGGACTGCACCTGTCGCACATTTGGGATATTCCGGACTCTTTAAGGGCCTGTGGTGAAGCGAAAATTAGATTCGACGGAAATTGTAGTTTTCGTTTTAATAGATACAATTTTATTAAAATGAATAGACAATAAAATATTTATCAACGATTTCGATTCTTTTTTTGTTTTCCTTCTACTACTGCAACTAATTTATTAACTTATTTAATTAATGAATTTTAGATAAACGCATCGTGTTGAGATAATGTCCTGTATAAATTCAAACCAGATTTAGATTCCAAAGATGATTGTAATGGCACCTGATCATAATAAACTGAAAATAAATAAAAAACGAGTTAGTTCTATTACAGAAAGACTCGAAGGATGAGAACTTAGTGGTAATATGAAGTATTACCCTTTGAACAGTCGATCAAATTAGACCACAGTATAGATAGAGATTTCTACTAATCAAAACAAACGTCCACTGAAAAGACAGTTAGTAATTTTTTTATTTCGCTAGAAACTCCTTTACAAAGATACTTGCTATTTGCGAAATTCGTTTCACAGTTTTTCACAATAACCGGTAATTTTATTATCCAGTTAATCGTAGCTCTTGTTTAGTACCAAGTTGTTCGTACTAAGTTCAAAGAACTTATGTATAATTATAAATTCGACTGCATGCTTCTGCTTTAATACGAGATTTGAAGTTGTCGACGAATTTTGAAGTCGTCATGGCCTAAAGGATAAGACGTCCGGTGCATTCGTATCTAGCGATGCACCAGTATGCACCGCAGGCCAGTACCAATTTTTCTAATGAAATACGTACTTAACAAATGTTCACGATTGACTTCCACGGTGAAGGAATAACACATACAACATCGTATAATAAAAATCAAAACCCGCAAAATTATAATATGCGTAATTACTGGTGGCCACTGGTACCACCACCCCGACTATTTCTGCCGTGAAGCAGTGATTCGTTTCAGTTTGAAGGGCGGGGCCGCCGTTGTAACTATACTGAGATCTTAGAACTCATATCTCAAGGTGGGTGACGGCATCTATGTTGTAGATATCTATGGGCCCCAGTAACCACTTAAAACCAGGTGGGCTGTGAGCTCGTCAACCCATCTAAGCAATTCAATTTTTTGCAGGAAGTGCCTATTATTCATGAATTTGGGCGATCGGGTTCTCTCAATCCTCCTAGTGCATGCTGTCACAGCCTAACACTGTGTGACGTCGAGACCATCAGTAGCGCAGGAGCATTGCTGCAGCAATAACTATCGTATTCTGAATCATGATGATCAACACAACTTAAAAATTATAGTTAATCAAAATAATTTCTGAAATTTCCTATCATTAAATTTTATGAAATAACGTGATTTACGTTCAATTTTGATCCCTGTTTCGACGTAGCTATGTGAAAGAAATCATACTGAAATTGTTTATGATGAATATAGTACCTACTCAAATAGCATGTAACAGCACGCAATACATGTTGCTGTAATTCTAGGGTACCCCGCTGGTACGTAAGGCCCTCACAAGTTGTCCCATTTGACCCTGTCTTGCGCTTGCTCTTTGACATCACTCCAGGTCATGTCGGTAGTCCTCATCACACTCTCCACGGTGCGTCGCCAAGTATGTACAGGGCGACCAGGTCTTCTCCTNAGTACCTACTCAAATAGCATGTAACAGCACGCAATACATGTTGCTGTAATTCTAGGGTACCCCGCTGGTACGTAAGGCCCTCACAAGTTGTCCCATTTGACCCTGTCTTGCGCTTGCTCTTTGACATCACTCCAGGTCATGTCGGTAGTCCTCATCACACTCTCCACGGTGCGTCGCCAAGTATGTACAGGGCGACCAGCTCTTCTCCTGCCAAGCGGTTGTCACTCAAACGCGGTTAATTCTTTGTTGACTCCGCTGCGCCGTAGAGTGTGTCCTATCCAACGCCATATCCGATGGGTAATGTCTTGCGCGATGGGGTTTTGGTCACATTTAATCCAAAGGTCTTTATTAGAGATAGTGACTGGCTAGAACATGCGGAGTATCGACATCAAGCGCTTATTTAAAAATACCTGCAGCTCATGAGAACCCTTATCTTCTCCATATTCTTGTACGCTTCTGAGACGTGGACCCTCAAGACCCGTACCCGATCGAGAAATGACGCATTTGAAATGTGGTGTTGGTGCAAAATGTTGAGCGTATCATGGACGGAGCGCCGAACAAATGTGTCAATTCTCGAGGAGCTAAACGTCAAGACCCGTCTATCTACAATCTGTACGCAGCGTCTCCTCAAGTACTTCGGACACGTGGCCCGACAAAATCCTGAGAAATTGGAAAAATTAATAGTTGTAGGTCACGTGGAAGGAAAGAGAAGTCGAGGAAGATTGCCAACCAGGTGGACGGACATTATATCAAGGAGGCCACAAACACCAGCGTCCCGGGCGCCATTAAGCAGGCCCAATGCAGGCAACATTGGAGGAAGCTGGTGCAATAATTATATAAATATTATATTATATACATAAATTATAAGAATAAAGTTTGCTTTTACATATTATTGAAACTGTGTCGTTATCCGTGTCCACATAAACTGGGAAGTCGAATACGAAAAAATGCAAAAAAAAAAAATAATAAACGCGAGATTGAACCGTAGAAGCAGTTTAAATTATGTACAATTTTTAATTATGTACAGACGCACGTAATTGTAAGGATATTGAATAGAGAGTTTGTATAAAAATTTGTTTGATAAATGTTTTTTATCAATACTAATTCTAAACTTATTACAAAACAACAACAATTGGTATTCATAAGATTAATTTATTCTTAGTGATTTTAAAACACGAAACTAGCATTACCCGCCTGAAACACAGGATTACCTGATTCGGGCAAAGTTGTTATAATTAGGCCTAAATAAGCCTATTTACGTTTGATATTCAGCTTAGAATCAATTCATTTGAGTAAGATTAAATACTAAAATGTTTACATTGTAGACAGTATTTTTGTATCTTGTTAAAAACAAAAAGCCCAATAGACGATTTCATCACTAAGTAAGATCTCTTCAGATAACCATCAGTTGGAAAAAATTAAATACCGCTGGTAAAAATACTGATTGTTGTAAGCGTTTCGGTAAAAATAAATGTTTTACACATAAACAAAGATAAAAAAATCAATACAAAGATAAATAAAAATAAATCTATCTTTATCAGAAATCTCCAAACGCTTGAAGGAGGCTACACGTGATACTAAGGCTGGCTGGTACTTTGCACAGAGAGTGAGTCTGGCTGTCCAACGAAGTAACTTAGCCAGTATCTTGGGAACTGTGCCTCCTTCAGGCGCATTGGAAGATTTGTTCTACTGTGTGAATTGATTTGTGTTAAATTATTTTGATTTGTTATTTATTAATAAAGGATAACACATTCAAAATTAAAAATAAATCTATACGTAAAATTTTACATAACTAATGTCATGTACAAACGCTAATCAAACATTTTTATTCTAATACAATTTAATAATTGAATATTCCTTAGTCGTTTGAAGGTCAGAAAATAGTGTTTAGTACTAGGCAAAAACACACAAAAGATCAGAGAGTGATCCTGTATCGTTGATGTGCGTGAGCGGCAGTGAACCGTCAGCATCAAGTTGCACATAATGTCCGTACGACTTTGAAAGTAATTAAAAAAAGTTTCTACAACATGATAATTTCAATTGATAATATACCGTTTCTTCGGTAGCCTCTTCTTAATTATTAAAGTAATCATTAAAATGTTTTTCTTGTATGTCACAAGAAGTTCAGAAATGCCAAATGATCATTTAGAAGCTGCACTTTAGCAATTGATTCTAGTGTATTAGGAGAAACTCGTATCAATATTTAATATAAACGAAAACAATACTGTTTGGAACAATTTTTTTAACGATATAAAGAAATGTTTTTAGAGACATACATAAGTTAGATATTTTTTCAAAATTTCAGTTGTTTTGAATTGTTCTTTTAATTTATTTTAGTAACTTAGCCAATTTTCTGATACTACTCATATAAGTTTCAATACAAGGAATTGCTGTTTTCCGAAAAGTGTGGTAATGGCTCAAAATTTTTTTTACTAAAACGTTCGTTCAATTAATTGAATTAGTAAATTCGTATTTCTAAAATGGGTTCAATTTAAAATATGTAGAACCTGTAGGTTTTCATTTGACACATCTTAATTTAATTTTTGCGGTTGCATGTTAATATAAAGTGTGGTTTATAATCTTGGTGGCTATTGTTTGGTTTAACATGTCAGATGATGATTTAAAAGTAAAACGAATGTTTATTTATGGTTTTGTATTTCATAAATATTTTTTTTCATTTTTTAATACTTAGGTGTTACAAGGTTTGTTCGTCAGGATCGTTCTTCACCAACCGTGAACCAGGGGGCTGGAGTGTACCAAGGGGGCGGAATGGAAGAGTCCAGCATGATGGGCATAAGGAGTGATGATTCCGTGCGCATATGGTGCGATCGCTCCATGTGCTACTACGGCGGGGCTAGTGCGGACATCCACGCGGGACTGATGAGACACGGCTGCTGGAGCTACTGCAGCGACCACGGGGGCAGCATAGGCATGAGCTACGACGGGAGCAGCGACTGCGTGGGAGACGACTGCTGGGCTAGAGATCACATCCACGCGGGACTGGTGAGAAACCGCAGCTGGAGCGATGATGGGAGCACTGTAAGCCAAGTGACCCAGGGAACGTTTCTTCAGCCAGTGTCCATGACCGTGACCAGCAAATACTGGTGCAGCGTAGGCGGCGTGTGCGAGGACTGGTGCGGCAACAGCGTGGCTATAGATGGCGGGGCTGGTACGTACATCAACACGAGATTGATGAGAGACGGCAGCAGGAGCGATGACGGAGTGAGCGATAGGAGCTACAATCGGCGCGACAGCAGCGTGCACGAGTGGAGCGTGGTGTCCTTCCAATACTTTAGCTTGAAGGTGGAGAGCGCGAGCGTTGATGACTTCCGCGGTGTCCAGAGGCCGGCCGTGGGGGTCCAGGACGACAGCGGGATGATGCGGGGGCTGCGCCACCGGCAAAAAGGAGCCGCAAGCCACAGAGGCGAGAGCGAACAACACCACCATCGATTTCATAATGAACGTGGTCTGTGTTTCCTGACGATGTATGTAGATCAC